CTCCGCCCCGCCCTGGCCTGCCCGCCCCGCCGCTGGCACCCGCGCTCCTCCAGCCCCTCCTTGCCGCCCGCGTGCCGACGCCTGGGTCCTTTCTCTCCTCTCCAGGACAGGACAGTGCTCCTAGATCCGACACTTGGGGCTAAAGTGGCCTCAGAAAACAACACCGGCCCAGAGCCCTGGGTTCAAGCCTACAGCTCACTAGCCGTGTGACCTTGGGCCAGTTCATTTCGAGAATCCCTCAGTCTATAAAGTGAGGTCAGCATCTTGGGGACCGGCATTTAGATGGTGAACACGCTTCGTAAACTGCAAAGCGCTACGGAGATTTTAGTACTGACAAAAGTCTTGTTGATCTGGCTGGAAACCGATGAAGCGTGTAAGGTACTGGAAGCAGACAGAATGGGGGACTCGCACCAGAGCTACTGCCCGGTCCCCTCACTCCCACTTCTCTTCTTGTTTTGGTTGTACCTGGAGCTAACCAGGGAGGGGACCAGGCAGTGGGGCCGACAGGCAGGCCAGGGTCCCAGGGTGCCTGCAGTGCCGGCAGAAGGCAGGCAGGCCGCAGCAGCAGGGCCAAGCAGAGAAGGGATGATGGGTGCCAGGTCTGGCTACCAATCCCCCTCCAAGAGGCCCCTGAGCAGGGAGCTGGCTCTGCAGCGCCACCTGGGGGCTGGAGGGGAGCTGCCGCTGGAAGGTGACCCCAGGCCCCAGAAGTCGCAGGTACATCAACCATTGGCTCTTCGTTTGCAGCTGGTTTATTTTCAGCATATTCCTGACCTGGTGACCCTCAGCAGGAGAGAGGTGGGGAGGAGGAAGGTCAGCCTGCACCTGTGCCCATCCCTGAGGTTATCTCCTTATTGAGAGTTAAACCCACACTGACAAAGGCGATCTTCTGGCAGGAGAAAGTATTCAGAGACCCCTGGAAAAGAGGCAGCCGAGGCCCCGTGGCATGGCAGGCAGGGGATGCAGCCGTGGCGCAGAGGCCCGCTCAGACTGGCCCCAGCCCCTCCTCCCTGAACGGCCCTCCTCTTCTCCCGCCGGGCTGGGATATGAGCTCAACGTCCCAGCAGCCGCAGCATCTCCTGAGGATCCAGCAGCTTCTCCCTGGGCTTCCCAGCGCCCTGGCCCCTGGATACCTCCTCAGCATCCAGCTTCTCCCAGTCCGAGAAAGAGACGGGCCGGACCCCTGAGGCGGAGGGAAGATGGGTCACTGCCTCCACCTCTTCCATCCCAGCCCAGAGCACACCTGCCATCCCACCTCCCAGGAATACACCCAGGGCTCAGACCTCGGCTTCTGAGCAGGGCCTCAACAGCCGAGTAGCCAGGCCTGGGACCAGACGGCAGCAGCCCGGCCTTCAGGTCCTGCAGCAGTGTCTGGCTGGTGTGGAAGCTGTCGGTCATGGTGGTAGCGATGACACCTGTGGGCCCCCGCTTCACCCAGCCACTGCAATAGAGGCCTGGGAGGGAGTAACGAAACGGTAAGGAAAGAGGACGTGGCTGGACACTAGCCTGACGAGCCTGAGCCCCCAGGATACACGTGTGCACGCACATCCGTACACCCCAGTCCTCCCAGCAGCCTGTCAGCTGGGCCCACTGCGTCCGGGGCCCACCACCCTGGATTCTTCTCAACCTGCTTTTACCATACCGTCCCCCCTGATACCTCAGCTTCCCTGTAGACTTAGAAGCTCCCTGAGGGTAGGAGCTGGGTCTTGCCCACCTCCAGTTCCTGCAGGCCCTGAGGAAATGTTTACTGAAGGAATAGACAGGTGTGTGAATATTTAGTCAGACCGGAAGTTCCCTGAGGCTGCTGTTCGATCTCCAAACCCAGCACTGAGCAGAGGGCCAGAACGGGGCTCAGTAAACTGAATGACTTAATAACCAGACATATGTGGGCACCTCAGCTAGACTGGGAACTTACTCTAGGGCCAGGAGGAAGGTGGGGCTGGGTCCCAGGACCCAGACCCCCAGGACCTGGCTCAGAGCCGTTTCTCAGTGCATGTCACAGGATGAATGTGAATGGCCCCAGGAGACACCAGCCTCCCTGTCCCCCTGTGGTTTGACGCCTTTCTCACATCCTCTCACCTGGTACATCCACAACCCAGCCCTCCACATTGGGAATGATCCCAAGCTTGGGGTCAAAGGGCACACTGGGGTCAATGGGGCGGCTCTTATACCCAACGCTGCTCAGCACCAGCCCACAAGGGAGGTCCTCTGTGTCTCCAGTGGGCACTGCCCGGGTGGCCTCACCGACACCCTGTTGGGGAGAGTGTGGACAACTAGGGTGGGGAGACTTGAGAACAGGGGTGTCTTTGGGTAACAGAAGACTCACCTCCAGTCTGGTGATTGCCAGGCGGATGCCTGCCACCTGCTGCCCATCTGGCGAGGGCAACACCTGCTGGGGGCTTCGGAAAAAGCGGAGACCCCAGGCCCGGGAGGCCAACACCTGGCGGGCAGCCTCCTGTGCCCCCGGCTTCTCCGTGGCTGTTCGAAGCAGCAGCTCCATCAGCCGCTTCCTTGGGCGAGGCGCCTCTGTCAGCAACGCAGAACCTCTCAGGGCTGAACCTGGATTACATCTCGTCCCTGAATGCCCTCCCCCAAGCCCTCTTGACCTAGACTGTCCCCTCCCTAGTGAGCTGGGGGGCCAGGCCAGGGCCCCTCACCCTTGATTCTGTCCTGGAGGCCTGAGAAATCCGCAGGATCCAAAATGGGCCGGGTTCCTGGTAACTGAATCATCTCCCGAAGCTCCTTGGGGTGAGGTGGGGTGAAGTGGGGGAGGTCAGGCCCAGAGTACCATTCACTCCAGAGCCCACCCAAAAGCCCGGGCCAGGTGGGAGACACCACCACTGCCACAGAAGGCACGGGGCCCCGCCCGGCTCCCCTCTTCCACCCCAGGCAGCATCGCTCCCAGGGGCTCTGCCCTGCCCCGCCTCCTAAGGGCAGACCATCTACTTGGGACCCTAGCCCCTCTCCCTCTGGCCCTAGCACCTTAATGGTGAAGGCCACTTGCAGAGGTCCTCGTCGGCCCACTATCCACACCGTCTTCACCCGACTCTGCCTCAGTACCCCCAGGGCAGCCTCCGTGATGTCCGTTTTCTGGCACAAAAGGAAGACCTTAAAGTCATCCAACACTGAGCCTCTCTGGTCACGTCCCCATCCTAACTAAGCCTGAGAAGGTTGCCAGCCTGAAAGTGCGCCACTGCCCCCCCTGGTGCCCATATGGAGCACTGCCACCAATTCTGCAAATGGCTCCAACTAGTAGCGAACCAGGCCCACGCTCTTGCTCACTCAACAGGTGTGTTTACCAGTGAGGGCACCATGCGAGGGGCAGGGAGAAGGGGGACTGTTAATGGTGCCGGCCCTCACAGAGCTTCTGATCTGGAGGAGAGAGAGATATTTATCAAATACTCATCGATAAGTGTAAAATTACAGTGGTGACAACATGTGTTGAAGCAGAAGTAGACAGGTCTATCAGAGGAAGGTATAAAGCTTCCCGAGGAAGGGACAAGTGAGCTGAGAACTGTGGCACGCTGAATGGTATTTTTTTTAAAGGCCCACGTAGTTGGAGTGCTGAAGGGGAACAGGGATGAGACGAAGCTCTGGGACCGCCTTGCAGAGGCCTCTCTCCGCCTGAGGCCAGGGGAGACGGGCCCTCGGCTCAGCTTGGAGGGACGAGGCCTGCCCCCTGCAGCTGGGGCGCCCTCTCCTCAGTGTGAGCTCACCTGCGCTCCTCCGGCCCCTGACCTGCCCACTTACCTCCAGGTGCTCAGGTGGGGTCAGCAGGATCCGGGCCACGTCCAGAGCCACGTTCCCCTGCCCCAGAATCACGGCTGTGTCACAGCTCAGGTCTGGTGCCAGCTGGAGGAGAGATGTCTGCATCGGGTTCCAGTCAGGCTCCTGGTCCACAGTCCTCAGGCTCCCCCATGAGAGACGTTCCCCTCTGCTCCCCAGCCCCACCTCTTCCCAGAGGCCTTCCACGGTTGACCTCCCGCCTCGGTCAGCCTAATGTCTCGCATATGTCCTCACTGGGGGCCTCCCGGTCCTGCACAGTGGCTCTTTCTTCCCATAGCTCTGGTGTCCAAGGGCTCCCCTCGCCCTGGCTGAGGGGTAGGGGGGAAGAGGCACTGGGAGTGCTCCCCAAACTCACCTCCCGGTTCTCAGGAAGCCCATTGTACCAGCCCACGAAGGCCCGGGCCGAGAACACCCCAGGCAGCTCCTCACCGGGAATCTCCAGAGCCTGATGGCTCTCTGCCCCGTAACTCTAAGGAGAGACCCAGAGCCCTCGGCACCAGCTAAGGGGCTGGGCAGCCCCCACCAGCTCCCAGCGGCCTCCTTGCCGCTCCTCCTCCGCAGCTTCCACTCTGGCCCGTGCCCAGCGGTTTGGGCCTCGCCCCTATGCTTCCATCCCTCAGCCGCCGTGTTTCCTCCCCCACCAGGCCACCCGTCTGCACTCACCAGCACCACGGCGTGGTAGGCCTCCCGCAGCTCTGGCACGGTCACGTCCCTGCCCACGACCACGCTGCCGTAGAAGGCACAGCGGTCAGAGCGGGCCGTCTGGGTAAAGGTGTTGATGACATTCTGCGGGCCCCGGAGTGGGAGGGGTTAGAGGAGGGGGCAGCTCCAGGGACCATGCCTTTGCCACCCTCACTCCAAAATGTCCCCGGGATGGAACCTGGGTGGCATCTGGAGGGCCTGGGGTCATCCCATGCGGCCAGGTGGCCTCCCTTCCCTTCTCACTTAGACCACAGTCTCCGAACCTCCCCTCCATGCCCAGAGAGACCTACCTTCACCTCGGGGTGGTCGGGTGCCACGCCAAAGCGCACCAGGCCGAAGGGCACGAGCTGCTTCTCATAGATGTCCACGTGGGCCCGGGCGTGGTGCTGGGGGAGAGGGCAGCAGGCAGCGGGCTGAGGGAGGGACTGGGCCCCTACGTGTCCTCCCCTTCCGGGACAGAGCAGGAGAGCCCAGCTCAGGGGACTGAGGACACAAGGAGGCCTCGACCCTCTGCAGGGAAGAAGAGACCCTGACTCCTCGTGTGCCTAGGGAGCCAGACGAGAGGAATGGGGTGGCCGAGGTCAGACCTCGCGGACCGCCAGCCCATCGAGAACTCGGCCAACAGGAAGAGGGCATCGGGGGCGCTTCTTCATCTCCTTGGGTCAGGTGTGCCACATGGCCCTGCCCTAGAACCCCTCGACACTTCTAGAAATGCCCAGCCAGCCTGACGGCCTGAAAACCACCATTTGAAATGCATGCCTGCATTAGCTCTTGTCTCTAAGATCACCCTGTTGGAAAGAGGACCAAGCTGGACTGGGAGGTGGGGGCACAGCTCGGGCATGTGGGGGGCAGAGGGAAGTGGCCCTCCTCTCAATCTTAGAGAAAGAACCTCACTCACACACTGGTTCCATGCTGCCTGCCCTCCTGGGCACCTAGTGGGGCTGTGGCACAGAGTGAGGGCGGAAAGGAGAGGCCCGAGGCCCGAGGAGGCAGGTGGGCCCAGATCTTGGGGACCTTGGAAGCTCAGGCACTTGCTGAGGACTTGCTGATGACATTCCCTTCCTAGTGGGGAAGGCACAGGGCTGGGCTCAGGCACCGACCAGCCACATGGCTGGCAAGTCCCAGGATCTGGCTCTTCCTCTGTAAACTGGGACAGATAACACACCCTCTCTGGGTTGTCAGGAAGCGTCCTGGGGTTCAGCACAGTGAGAGACTCTGGGCTGCAATCAGGTTCAGAGTTAAGCACTCGGGGCTCCTGCAGAGGACACTGCCCTGCTTCCCACCCCCGTCTTGGCTCTGGCCGTAACAGTCCCACTTCGATGAGGCTCATGACTCAGGCCCAATGAGCTCCTGCCCTTCAGTCGCCCTCACCCCGACAAAGGCTCCTGCTCACCTCCTCACCTTTGTCCAAACCCCCATTGCCCTCCACTCCGTTGCCTGCACCCAAGTCCAGGCCACCCACCACCCAACCGTGCCCGCCAGAGGTGGCGCCCAACCCACCTCCTTCAAACCCCACTGTGTGGTACCCGGGAAGAGCTCCAGCTTTGGAGTCATCAGCCACGGCGACCCCAGGGCTCTCCGGCTCTGTGCCACAGGACTTCCTGGTACCACAGACCATCCCTCGCGGCGTGATGCTCCACCCACAGCAAATGAGCCAGGCCTGAAGCGCTTAGCCCAGGGCTTGACCCGCGATGAAAGCTGTCAGCTATTACCATTGTTGCTGCTCTGCCTCGCTCATCAACCTTCCCTGGATGCCCTGCCGCGGGACATAGTTCAAGCTGACCAAAGTTCAAGCGGACAATACCTTAGACAATGCGACTTTGTCTTCTATTCTTTCCTGCTGGGGATCCTTCCCTCTAGGTCACACTGCTCGCTCCAAGGCCACCTCCACAAAGCTAAGTCCACCGGACATGTTTACTAGTCAACTTGCATGGGCCAAACTCGTCCTCTGGGCAACCCGCTCCTCTCCAACCCGTGGAAGTTTCATCAGCTCCCTCCTGTGACCTCGAATTTCTGAGGACTTGCTGATGACATTCCCCTCTCTCTCCCGCCCAGATCTCCCTCTGAAGTCCAAAGCTGGACTACTCACCCCAGACACCTCGAACCTATCCCGATTACAGCCAGCGCCCTCACCCCCAAGCTCTCCTGTTTCTGTGCTCCGTTCCACGCCATCCGCCCACAGACCGAGCCAGAACCTGGGGCTCCTCCCTTACTCTCCTTGGCCTGGTCCAGTCGGCACCCCACTGCCACTCCAGCAGCTCCCCACTGCTCTCCTAGCCACCAGCCCTGTCTCCCCACTCTACTGTCTGCCCTGCAGGCAGAGAGGGCTCCAAATCAAAAATGGGGTGCTGCCAGTCCCTTGCCTAAAACTCTTCAGTAAAGCCAGCCACCTGTAGCAGCAGGCACCAGATTCCCCTGTGATATTCATTTAAAAGGGCTGGTTCCTGAGCCCCAGCCACAGTTTGATTAGGTCTAAGCGAGGCCCAGAAACGTGTATTTTAATAAGTCCCCCAGTGATGGAGGGGAGGGGGATGGGTAGCACCAAGATAAATGGCCTGAACCCAAGCCTGGTCAGTGGCTTCCAAGGTCCCCAAGATCTGGGCCCACCTGCCTCCTCGGGCCTCTCCTTTCTGCTCTCACTGCACACACCTACCTTCCTGAACTCACCTATCCACAAGGCTCATTTTCTCCTTCCTCTGGGCCTTTGTCCACGCGGTTCCCTGTGCCTGGCACTCTCCTGCCTCCTCCTCCCCCTCACCTTCCATCCTTCAGACAGCAATGTGGCCGTCTCCTCCTCCAGGCTGCCCCTCTCTGGACCATCCCCCTCCCTGCTTTCTGTGCTTACACCATTGGAGCCCTAGAGTGTCATGTGAACCCCCTTCCCCCCACCCCATGACCCCCACATTAGACCATCAGGTCCTTGAACACGGGGACCATGGCTGTCCTGCTCACACCCATGTCGGAGCCCTAGAGTGTCATGTGAACCCCCTTCCCCCCACTCCATGACCCCCACATTAGACCATCAGGTCCTTGAGCATGGGGACCATGGCTGTCCTGCTCACACCCATGTGCCCAGTGCCAAGCCTACGCCTGGGACGACAGTAGTAGATTATAGAATGAGCTACCATGGTGCTTAGGAGCAGGCTCTGCTGTCAGACTAGGCCTGTGCTCAGATCCCAGCACCTCCCCTGTCCATGTGGGCCCTTGGGCAACCTCGCTTAGCCGCAGAGTCTTCACCTGTGAAGCAAGACTCATGACACCTGTCTTGAAGGTTGTCTTGAGGATGTGATGAGATGCTATACGGACAATGCCTGACTCAGCTTAGTGCCACTGCCCCAGATGCACCAAGTATGTATCTTGGAGCTCCCAGTGGGCAAGGACCAGCTCGTAACTGGCCTCTGTGTCCATCCCCCATCATCTCCCACAGAGAAAGTATGTGTGTTTGCCAGCTGAGTGCACTGAGAATCCCATCTGGAAGGCCCACTCTCCTCCCTCCCCAAAATTCAGGCTCAGCTAACATAGTGTCCCTTACACAAAACCCTCCAAGACCTCCCCAGTCCCTGTGAGATCCCTGGTCTCTGTCCCAGAGCCCAGGGCTGCCCTACTACGCACAGCAGCTTTGCTTGGGGGTGACTCCCACATGTAGGAGGCCCTCTCCAGGGCCTCTGGCCTCCTTCAATATAGAGCAAAGGCAACTTCTCTAGGAAACACTTTGACTGACCCCACTTAACTCAGCTCATGCTGGTTACACCATTGTAATTAGCTCCTTCACCTACTTGCTTGAAAGGTGGGCTTAGGTCACTTTTCATCAGGGTGACAACGCATCTCCGTCTCCCCAAGACACGCCTAGTTTCTTTTTTTCCCATTCCCCTGATACTCCCAGTTTGAACACTGAAAGCCCTGTGTCCTGGGCAAATTGGGGAGGTCGGTCACCCTACCTTTTAAGTATCTGCATATGTGTTTGTATAATTAATACACTCATCATTTCTCCTGTCTCTTCACTGACACGCCAAGTTCCTCCAAAGAGAGGCCACTGTCCCATATCTTAGTCAGCCTAGGTCTCCCTTCCCTCCTCCCTCCCACCAAGGTCCAAGGTCTGGCAAAGTCTCAAGGGTAATTAGTAACCTTGGAGCCCTGCTAACCAAGGCCAATACCGTAAGCCTTGAGATGCCGGCCTTTGGGGGAGGAAATAGGAGGTGGCAAGCAGGCTGAAAGAGCAGCCTTGGCATGGGGAGTCACTGGTGAGAGCACAGCAAGGAGGGTAAAGCTACAGGAAACCCTGAGAAGACGGGGTAGCGCCTGGAGATACAGGATGCTGGAGTGAAGGCGGATGCTAAAGAAAGAAGGGAACATGAGGAGCAGGGCAGAGTCTTCCTGCAGGTCTGAGTAAGCTCCCTGAAGGGCTTGGCCAAGGAGGCGCAGGTGACAGTCTGCCGTCGACCACTGCCCATGAGGAGGACACACTTCACTCATAGCTGAGGACCTAGAGTGGGGAGCCCCAGACGTAGGTGAGAAAGCGTGCAGAAAGTATCTTGTCTAGAAGGGTTGGGAACCCCTTCCCCAATGGGGATCCAGGAGTGCTTTTAAAACCCAAACAGTGCGCCTTGCCCTTAGGACTGGAACAGACCAATCGTAGGTGAGGGAACCAGGAGAGTGTGGCTTACCTTTAGCAGGTGTTGGGCAGTGTAGAAGCCAGCTGGGCCACTGCCCACCACACAGATCTGGGGGGTCTGCTCCTGCGTGGAGAACTGCTGGTGGGAGCCTAGGATGGGGGAGGGGGAGGGGGAGAGCAGTCAGAACAACACTTCCAAACCAACTTCAGTGTGGAACAGAAGACGGAGGTTCCCAAGCTTCACCCTCCTCTTTTTTTGTCAAAGCTTTGGCACTTGCAGGGTTCCTTACTTCATCTGAACCCCAAAGGCTGTGTCTTCATCCAGAACCTTACATATCACCCACGAACTTACTATGTCTCTAAAGATGGCCTAGTCAACAACCCCCACCACTCACCCACGAAGCTGCCCTGCACGGTACTTCATTTTTCTTATGGGGTTCCGTACCCAGCCAGCTAGAATACCACATCCTTCCAACGGACCCCACGTCATCCCATTCTCACCCCTGCGGATCTCCCCACAATGCTCCCCTTTTACCTCTCTAACCCCTCTCTTCGCAGAACCCTATGCGTTGTCCCAGTCCACCCGCCTCATTCCTACAGACACCTGTTTCGCCTCAGAATTCTCTCTCGCCCCTGAGACCTCCAGAGCACTCTCACTCGCCCGTTTTCTCATCTGTGAACATATATTGTCTCCCCTTCTCATCTTTGTTGACCGCTGTCTCACCCTAGGGGTATCTCACCCCACAGGCCCCGCCATCTACCCCGTGCACCACCCCCATCTCGTCTGCCTGAGTGGACCCCCTCCAGTCTCGCCCCTCTTTCCCCTCTCCAGCTCTGCCGCAGCGTGGCTCCGACCCCACCACTTAGCGCACGCAGGCCTCCCCGCACCGCCGTCCAGTCCCAGGGGCGCCCTGCTCCTACTCGGGGTACTCCTGGCGGGAGGCGGTCGGGTCCGAGGCCACACCGACCAGTGCCACCAGCGCCAGCAGCGCGGAGCCATGGCTGGAAGGAGGAACCAAGCCTGCAGATCTGATCCTGGTGACTGCGCGCCCCGCGCTAAGCGCCGGCTCCGCCTCCGGCTCTGGCCCCGCCTTCGGCTCCGGCCCCGCCCCTCCCTGATTTCTGCCTACCACGCTCTAGGAAAGCCCGGCGAGGCGGCTCCACCCCCATCTCCTAAAGAATCCCGCCCCCAAAAGAGAAGCCCGCCCTTGGATCCACCCTCTTCTGCTGAAGGCCCGCCCCCCAGGATTTCCGGTCCCTCCGTGACTTATTAGTTCTGGAGTTAAAGGAGAGCGAATCCCCATCGCTGTTTCAATTCCGCCTGTAGAAAGGAACCAATTAGAGGGGAGTTTACTTAAGCCTCTGTCTCTCTCGGTGGCTCTGGTCTCTGACTGATGACGCCACCGCCTTTCCCTTTTGATAGCCACTCTCCTGCCTGGGCTTGTTTCATGCTAGCCAATCACCAGTCCGGTTCGAGCAAGTCAATGGGGTAACAACCAGAATTTAGATGTTTGGAAAAAAGGGGCTCCTGCCTGGAACTTGGCAACCCATTTCACCGATCCGGGTGACCCCAACAAGATGCCGGCCAGGTTGGGCCAGGGAGAATTTTAAACCTTACAGGTAGCAATGTAAGAAATGTCCAAACCTGTAGAGAATTTTTATAAAAATTTATTTGAGCCAAAACTGACGACAGTTACCGGGGAGTAAGACCTAAAATGCTCCTGAGAATAAGTTTGTAGGGTTTTTTTTGTTTTGTTTTTTTATGCATTTGAACTTAAGGAAGATTTACATGAAGGTGGGAGAGGTGGGAGAAAGCAAGGCAGGGACTGGATTACAGATTATGTGGTCTCCTGGGGCTGATTACAGCTTTGAAGGTATCACATCTGCCATTTCGAAGGTGTGTTAACCTAGATGCACAAGGAGAACGGACGGAGAAATTTGCTTTAAAATATCTCACTAAAATTATAGGACTGGGCTGTGACCACCCATTATGACCTGCCCATTTAGGAGTTTATGATCAGATCACTCTGTGAGGTTACTTTCCACAGAATCCCTTTCCATCCGCAGAGCTCTTGGCCCTCCTCACCCCTCCCCCTTACATAGATGAAGAAACAGGGGAGGAGCAACTTGCCCCATGTACTGACCCATCCTCTCCCAAGCTGGGTTAAGGCCCCTTCTTGTCCCCTAACACCCTACCCCATTATTACTTATTACACTGCCTTACCGTTTTTTAATTATCTTTTTTATTGAAGTATAACAAACAGGAAAGTGCCCAAATCAGAAGTATACTGTTTGATGAATTATCACAGATGTAACCACATTACCACCCAGATCACTCAGATCAACAAGCAGAACGTGGCCAGCACCCCAGGAGCTCCTTGTGCTCCTTCCAGTCCCTCCCTCCTCCCCTTTCCCCCCTCCCATTCTGATTTCTAACAAGTCATTGTGTTTGTGCCTGTCCCATTAGACCAGGAGTAAGCAAACTATGGCTCGCAGGCCACATCCTACCCAACACCTGTTTCTGTACTACTCACAAGCTAATGGATTTTACATTCTTAAATGGCTTTTTTTAAATGTAAAGAATATTTTGTGACATGTGAAAATTACACAGATTCAAACAAAATTTATTGAAACAGTTATGCTCATTCTTTACATATCTATGGTTGTTTCATACTTTGATGGCACAAAATGCTTTGAGTATTTGTGACAGAGACCATATGGTCCACAAAGCTCAAAATACTTACTATCTGGGCCTTTACAGAAAAAGTTTGTCAACTCTGGCACTAGACTGTAAGCTCCCAGGGGTTGGGGCTCAATCTCGTTCACTCTTAATACCCCCAAAGCTTCACGCAGTGCCTGGTGCATAATGGATGTTCATAAAGAGTTTATTTTAATGATCAAATCATTTATTATCCTTTCGCATAGGAAGAGATGAAGATTCAGGATCAGATACCTCAGAAAGCTGTATAGGACTCCCCTCCCAGAGGCACCATGTTTGGTGGTTAAGAGCAGAGATTCTGGAGTTGGACACACTGGGTTAGAATCCTTCCCCTACCATTTACTGGCTATATGACACTGAGAAATTCAATCTCTCCAAGGCTTATGTTCATAATATGTAACGTGAGAAAAAAATAGTACCAACTTCTTATAAAGACTAAAATTAGATGGCATAGGTAAAAATGTGCCATAAGTTCTGAATAGGTGTTAGCTGTCATTGTCATCATCAATATTATCACCTCTGATTCACCTTTGTAAATTAGACCTTAGGTCACCACGGAGCCCTAGAAGGGCTTCATTCACTCCTGTCACCTCCCCTTCCTTACCTCTCAGGCCCCGTGCATTCCCAACCCATATCCTCAGAGTAAGAGAAAATCAAGCCTCAAAGTGATAGAGTGACTTGTTCCCAGGTGCCTGTGGTACAGCCAAGTCTGGTACCAGGGCCTTCAGCTGTTGCCTATCCGCCGCTGAGGCCCAGATCAATAACATTGAATCATTGGTTATGTATTAGGATGGTCGTAATCATTAGCCGGGACTATGTGACGGAGCCTTTACTGACACTGCATTTCTCATGTGGAGAATTAGCCGTTCGATTAGTCACTCTCCCAGACTTTAAGGCCATTTCTGAGGTACTAATGCATTTCAAAAGAGCAGCAGTAAGTTAGAGCAAAGCAGTAGACTGGAGAGGCTGCCAAGCCCCCTCCTTCCAAGAGGCTGTGAGGAACCAAAACCCTGCTCTATCAGTCAGCCTCCCAGCAGGAAGCAGATGGCATGCTCAAAAGGTCCGATTGTAGAGAGTGTAATGAAGGAACTTTGTACAGAGGTGTGAGCAGCATTAAAGGAACAGTGAAGCTCCCCTGGGCTAGCAACAGCTGGAAGCCACTACCACCCTGACCCGAAGGAGCTGTTTTCAAAGGAGTGACAGCTGCGGCTGCAGAAGGCGGTGCCTGACAGGAGCTGTGGCTGCAGAAGAGGGTGCCTGACAGGAGCTGTGGCCTTCGGTAGAAGAGGCAGGGTCTGGGGGCCAGGGGCAGCTTCCCAGCAGAGCCACCTGAGGCTTCATTAGAGATAGGCTCTCCAGCAGGACCAGGCTTAGAGAGTGCCTTCGCCTGCCACCTGAACCTCCCGCCCATCCCCCGCTGACATCATCAGGGGCAGTGTGCCCTTCTCCCTGTCCAAGGCCCCCTGCCCATCCCCCTGGCTGACATCATCAGGGGCAGTGTGCCCTTCGCCCCGTCCAAGGACTTCACTGGAAAACCAGGCAATTACGCAGTCAGAACACGACTTGCGTGTGCTCGACCAGGGCTGATTTTGCCCCCCAGGGGACATTCGTCAATGACTTCAGACATTTCTGATGCTCACAACTTGGGCTCCTAGCACCTTGTGGGTAAGAAGCCAAGGATGCTGCTAAGCATCCTGCAATGCACAGGACAGGCCCCGACAGCAAAGAATGATCTGGCCAAAATGTCATAGTGCCAAGGTGAGAAACCCTGTTTTAAACCAACTGCTCTGGCCTCCTTTCTCTGTCCCTCCCTCAGCCTCCAGCTGGGCCCTTGCAACCCCTCATCCAGCCCCCAGCCAGGGCAGCTCCCAGCCCTCTCTCAGGTCTGCCCACTTTAGGCTGGCTCTCCATGATGCCCCCAGCACCTCAACCTCTTCCTCTGGCTGGCATCAGTAATTCCTTACGTTCCTGCCTCCCTCCCGGGCTGCAGACAATGCTTTCGCAAACCAGCCCAGCCCTTGACTTCTGGGGTTTGTATCTGCACCCCACACTCCTTCTCCTTCCTTTCCTCTCCAAGGCCTTCTGTCCTCCAGACCCTGTGCCCACCACCCCCTCCGGCCTCAATTACCCTCCCCGTAATTTTTCTTCTCTCTCAATTGATAATTCTTCCAGGTCCACTCCTTCGAACTATCATGGGACAAAGCAGACTTCTTCTAGAGCTAGCCAAAGTCATGCTCAAAGCTGTTTCTATTCTTTCTCCCCTTACTTCCGGAACCTAGTGTCTTCTCCTTACAAAACACATACACTTTGATCTCGCTGATGCTGTGGCTCTTGGCAGATGCCGAGCCTGTGTCTTGCAGGGGTTTCTCTGGCTGAGAAACCAGGAAGACCTGCCGTGAGTAACCTCCCCGTGGTCCCTGGGGAGAGGGCTCCTTAGTGGGCACAGCCTCTGAGGGCACGGAGAAGCGGTGGCCAACTAAGACTATGGCACTCCTGGCGCCAGGGAGGCCCTAGCCAAGGGCTGATCCTACTCTCTTGCTGCCCTCTTCTAGCCTGCCCCCTGCACAGGGCCTGTCCTCACCCCTGTCACCCTCCCATAGCCCGACCAAGGCTCAGGCAGAGCAGGGGAGGAATCCAGCTGTTTAGACCTGAGATGAAGTGGGCCAGATTGCTCAGAGTGCCCAGCCGTCTTTATTCCTTCCCTCCAGATATCTCTCGCAACCCAGAAAAGCAAGCAGGGCAAGCGACCCCCAGAACCCCCAGCACGAGCTCCCTGCCTCACTGCCCTCCCAGTGCCTCCACGCCCAGGCCACACCCACTGGGAAAGGGCCCGCCCCCTCCTGGCCCCTGGACAGGCCGCAGAGAAGCAGGAGAACCAGGGTTGGGCCTGGGAAGGGGAGCAGGGTTCCTGTGCTGGCCGCCCCTCATTGCAGCCCCACCAGCTCAGTGATGGGAGGGGTCTGCACCATGAACTCCTCATACCGACTGAGGAACAGCCAGAAGCGAGCCAGGTAGGTGTCCTCGTTGTAAGGCAGGTGCTTTTCATGGAGGAACTGGGACACCACGGGCTTCACCTGCCAGAAGATGGGCAAGAAGAGGGGCCGCTGAGCCAGGGCTGCAGGCAGGCCCATCCCCCTAGGGGCCCTTCCTCTTCCCAACCCCAGCTGCTGTCTGCCCCGTTCTGTGCTCTAGTCTGGAGGAGCTGAGGGGCTTGGAGAATCCCTGCCTCTCCCCCTCCCAGCAGGCAAGGAAGAGGGGGCTTTTCCTCAACATCCCCCCCCAGGGCCCCCGACTGCATGACAGTCCTGTTCGCTGTGGTGGGTAAAAACCATAGCTCCCTTTCACCAAGCACCCACTGTGTGCCCAGCATTCCAGACCCATTTCTTCATTTCATCCTCAAAGCCTGTCAACATACACACTGCTTACTCCCATTCTACAGATGGGGAAGCCAAGGCTTGGGTCAGTTAACTTGCCCAGAGTCACACTGCTAGTAAGAAACCCACACTGATGCTTGCGTACTAGGCTGCCCTTCCTGGGGACCTCTGTCCAGTCCAGTTGGGGGACTCAGGGCTCGGGCGAATCCTGAAGGTTATGCACCCTCTGTCCTCAGGGACTCCCTTCACCCCAGCCCCTCCAGGCCGACCCTCATCTACCTTTAGGCACATGTTGTCAGAGAGCCTGGGGAAGAGGTGGTGCTCCACGTGGCAGCTGATGAGGGAGTGACCGAAGGCCCAGTCCAGAACGGGCAGCCGGGGCAGGTTAAGCACGCCCAGGCTCATCATGTGAATCCGCTGGGGCTTCTTGTCTCGGGAGAACATGGGCAGCCCGATGTGCTGTGACAGACATGTGGGTCATGGCCTGGGCCATTCCTGTACCTCCCCACCCTGCCCCAGGTGTCCTCACCTAGCATTTGGGGACCAGCTTCTGCCCTCCCTCACTCTCACTCTGGCGGGACCTGGTAGAGGCGAGAGGCGGCTGGGTTCACCTGTCCATGCCCTGAGCTCAGTCTCATCCATCTCTGGGCCTCTCTCCCCATCTGTACCATGAGGGGCTTGGCCTGGGCACCCCTCAGGTCCTGTGGTACTCTAAAGCTTGTGGCTGCCCACTATCTACTCTCAGGTCCCTATATCTTTGCTTCATCCTGGAGAGACCCTTCCCTGCTTTGTTTTCACCAATCGAAATCCTGCTCGTCGTTCAAGATCAAGTTTGCGCATCCACGTGTATATTTTCACTCGACAGGTTTGTATACCAGCCTCCTCCACCAGGCACTGTCCTAGGTCTAGTGAGTGTGAAGTGAACAGGAGTGTCCATTCTAACAAGACAGGCAGATGGGACACAACTATGGAATTCAGTCGTTCATGGCAGTTGTGCTAAGCTCTGGGGTGGTGGTGAGCAGGATGCTCTAACCTGAGGTCTTCACTGGTCTGAAGAGCAGGGAGGTGTTTGTCCCTATGGAAATGGCCCGGGACCCTGTGCTGCGTCCTGGCCTTGCAAGAAGACCTCTGTCTCCAGCTCCTCCATCGGCCTGCCCGTGGCCTGTGCTGGGGCCTCTGTGATGGCCCTCCGTCCACTTCACTTAAGGTTATCCCCATAAGTGCACTCAGGGCAGAAGCTGGGGGCTAATCACTTGTGTCCCCACAGGGCTTAATCTACCCGACGCACATCACATCGAAGGTTCTTAACGCATCTTCTCTCCAGTTGTGAATGGCAGCCAGTGTTGAAGAGAAGTGAACTCTTTACCTTAGACCAAAGCTCTCTGTGATGACCCCCAGAGAGGAGAGGAGAGGGCTGGGTGGGAGGTGGGGGGAGGCTTCCTCAGCTGGAGAATGCTCCCCGTAGCCCCCCAGCGCCCAGGATGGGGGACACCTCACCTGGAAGATGTTGACGTGGAGGTAAGGGTGGGCCAGCAGGGACCTGGTGACGAGCATGCAGGCCAGGGCCGAGCAGGGGCTCCTGAAGCCAGACACATTCAAGAGCAGCCAGTAGTGAGAATAAAGGCCCAGGGAAACCAAGGCCAGACCCCGCAGAGCCGTCCCGAGCTCCGCCTTACTCAGCCGCTCTGCCAAAAGGGTGAGAAACGCAGTGACGGGGGTGGGCAAGGCTCGGATCCAATGCACGCTGGCTCCCCGGTGGCTCAGTGGTGCCCACCAGGGTATCTCGGTGTGTTCATCCCCACACAGCCCTGAAAAGTGGGTTCGCCCATTTGACGGATGAGGAAATGGAGCAGTAAGCAACTTGACCAAGGTCACTCTGACCTTGTAAGTGGTGGCCTGAGGCTTGAACCCAGGTCTGGCTGCCCCGCAGCCCGTCCTTCCGCCACATGTATTGCTCCCGTGATATTAAAAATTATAACATGCACTATAGTGTGAGGCCTTTCCAAAGCATTTGCACATCTGCAACCTCACTGTGCTCTCACACCTCCCCGGAGGAGCCGGTGAGAACCTGAGGCTCAGAGAAGCTAAGTTACCTGCCTGAAGTCACCAAGCGGTAAGTGGTGAAGCCAGACTTGGCCCTGGGTCCAAGGCTCTTTCCACTCTGCCTAACTGTCTCAGAAAACTTCTGTCCCATCTTGACTCAGGGCCCCTCACCTCCTCCATGAGCGGCCCCCATGAACCAAGGAGGGAAGGAAGGAAAGAGAAGCCCAGGCCTTCACGGGGCGCTCCGGACCCAGGCCCTGGCATACTCACCGACAGCCACCAGAGGGGTGATGATGGGGATCAAGAGAGGAGCGAGGAACATGTAAACGTAGCGGTTGAGGAAAGGCAGCCTCCACGTGCTCGAGTCCCCCAGGCCCAGCACGTTGGTGTGTCCGTGGTGCATCTTGACGTGTCCGTACTTGGCATACTCCGCCGGGAAGGCCGTGCACACCTGCAGAAGGGAGCCAGAAAGGGCACCGGGGCCCATGTCAGGCACAGTCAAGCAAAGTAGGACCTTTGGGAGCCTACAGAACAGCCCTCCATCCCTGGATGCTGCATGTCCAGGGCCTTCCCGCCTTACACCCCCGGCTAATCAGCCTTGACCATCAACTAACTCTCACGTATCTGTGACTACAAAGGGCAGCCAGTCAAAACAACTGCTTTCACTTGGCATGGTGCTGCAAAGCGCTGCGGGGCGTGACGCCAGCCCCTAGACTGCCACTCTGCCACTGACCACCCAGGCAGCCTGCAAGCCTGAGAGGATTGGACACACCGCTTGTCAGGTCGCTGGCATCAGATTACAGTTATTTCCTGCATGTTTATCTCGGAAACATCTATACCTTTCACTAACACTACTTTACATCTTGAGCCCACAGCAGGGGGGTGGAGGATGGGCGTGGTCTGGAGGCAAAGGGAGACCTTTCCCTGAACTGTCTACGAGGGTGTCACCAGGGGTGAGGTCTGCCCTGGGGGAGGCCGACAGCTAATTTGTCCCTGGGGTGACTCCTCTCTGGCAGGTGAGGGAATCTCCTAAACCGGTCACCAGAAGCAGTTCTCTTATTCTAATAACTGTCAATCTAAGGGCAAAAGAGGCAAAAGAGACACTGAGGTGTTTCTTATGCAGATACATGCAAATGAACATGCAAATGTTCTCTTCCAATATCTCATTCAGGCCAGAAGATTTTGCTAATTTTATTGAAGATGCTGCCTGCCAGCTTCCAGGAAAACATGAAGAGTTTCCCAGTTCCAGTCACCGGGATCCTGGGAAAGACAGCGGAACACCCTCCAATGAGCCCCCAGCATCCCGCGCTCTGCATACGTGACTTGGTAGTCTCCCAAGCCCAGGAGGTCAGCGGCGTTATTATTCACAGTTGACAGAAGCAGAAACTGAGATAGAGAGAGGCCATGTGCCCATCCCAGGTCACTCAGCCAGGTGGGTAGCGGAGGGCCATCAGGCCCCTGAGATGAGTCACTTCCTGCCGCGGAGGAGGAGCCGAATCCCTATTGAAAGGACGCTGAAGAGCACAGTTAACGATGTCACAACTGAAGGTTTACAACAGACTCGGGAAGATATGGCAAAGCAACGCTGACCCGCCCCTTCCAAGGCGAAGGCAGAGGGCAGGAAGGTAAATGCTCATTCAGCAATGGCGTCGCCAACGAAAACAGGACCAGGTGCTTCACTCTCAGACGATGTAACCCCCTGAGGAGCGGGTTTTGCTGTTTTCGTAAACTTTCGGAGGGACAGAACCCACCTGGGAGAGGCTGCAGAGGGTGGGCAGGTGACGAGTCAATTAAAGTAATTGACTGTTGGTCTCCAAGACCCGTCTGCTCAAGAGGGTATCCTTACTGCATCCCCTTGATTGGTTCAAGTTAGTGGCACAAGCCCATTGGCAGCAGGCAGAAGGGGGCTGCAGCCAGCTTCTATTGGGATGTCCTGAGGTCGCCTGCCTCTGCCCAAGGCCCGCAAGTATGTGTTTTGAACCTCACGGTTCTGTCCCGTGGAACTGGGAAAAGTTGGCTGTTTTTAACCGCTCCTTCCACACACTTCTGCGCCAAGGGCCGAATCCCATCCGCATGGCTTCCGTCATCAAGAAATGCCAGCTGAATGCATCAGTCTGCTTAGTGGCAAAGTCAATTTCCCTTCTGGCACACGCTCAGCCTCTCCTTGCAGACCAGCAGCGGACCGCGCTTTGAGTAGCAACACCAGAAACGACCTGGACCCGAACCAGACTGAGCATGGAAAGAGCCCGAGCCTCAGGGCCTGGTGGGGTCCTCGGTCAGGTTCTCAGCCACGTGCACAGACCCGAGGATGCGGGGGAGACAGGCTTCCTGTGCAGTACGTAACATGTGATCTGTGACTCAGCGCACACTCCCAGAGTCCGTGTTTGATTTGCCTTTTGATATGAATAAGAACAGATTTAAGGCTATTTCTATAACACTGGAATTCTCACTCCCATCTAGATGTTTTTTCGGAGGAGAAGAGAGGCGGATTTGGGTGAGGAGGGGAGACGTCACGCCGCTCACAGCGTGTCCACGTGCGTGTCCACCCGTAGACCGAAGCGCGGTGGGAAGTGGTCCCGAGCTGCGGCGGGAGTTAGAGAATGGACTGTCCCGCTGCAAAGGATTATTTTAAGGTCTCGCCCGAGAGGATTCCACCTCCAGACTCAGAAAAAGTTCTGGAAGCCTCCAGGTCGGTGCCGCTACTTGATATCATCGCCCTCTGTACTCCTCAGGAAGACGTAGGAGCTCCAACCTCTGAGCAGTGCTCGGGCTCTGCAAGTGGCCAGACATCAGGGGCAGACGTCGGTATAATTCCCCTTACCGTCGTCTCTCAGCGAAATGCCGGGGCCCCCAATCTCTCATGTGTTCATCCATTCCTTCATTCAGTTGTTTGTTCACTGAAGCATCCTTTGGGGCTCTGCCAGTGGCCAAAGGTCGTTGTCTAATTTAGTTTTTGACTAGGTACTATGTTCATGTAATTCAGAGTTCAAAAGTGCACGGCGAGGGACTTCCGCCTGCCCCAGCCCCCAGCTGCCCTGGGAGGCGAGGGAGGCTCTCGGTCTCTTATGCATCCGCTAATATTTTCTTTTTATCTTTTTAAAACAAACAATCCTTTGCAGGATTAGAAACCATCGTTAATAAAGTTGTGGCGCGGCCAAAGTTGGGTGTGAAATAGGCCACTCTACTGGATTGAAAGGGAGGGGCGAGGCGAGACAGGTGACAGGCCCGAGGTTGCTGGTCTGGGCCAGCTGAGAGATGGCGAGGTCTCGGGGAAGGCAAGGAGTGGGAGGAGGAGGGATCAAGGGCAAGGCCAGACTTCCAGAGTGGGCCTGGGACATGTGGGGCCACTCCAGACGTGGGCACAGGGGTGGAGGGCGGGAGCACAGACAGGATGAGAAAGAGGGGCTGTGTGGCATCCCAGGGGCAGCGGCCCTCGGGCGGGACAGACCCTGGGCTGGACCCTGGGCTGGACCCTGGGCTGGAGTCTGCCCGGCTCCCATTCCTCCCTCCGGGTCCTCTCACTGACTCCCGGGCGCTGGGCAGCCCCTTCGCACTGGCTTCAGCACACTAGGGGCCTCTGGGGCTCCAGGGGCCACGGCCATGGGTTTGTAAGACAGAGATTAGGAAGCCCAGATGAATTCAAGTTTCACATAAACGACCCATCGCTTTTGGTAGACGTATACCCCAAACAGTGCCTGCATGAATCATTCATCCGAAGTTCAAACGTCACTGGGCGTCCTGTGTTTTATTTGTTACAACTGGCAGCCCTCCGCAGGGAGAATGCGAACTCCTGAGTATGAGTCCTCAGGTGCCAGGCTGGCCCTGCGACAGGCTCCGTGTGGATAAGGTGGTATGTCAGCACCTTTGGATGAGAGAGGGACAGCGGTGAGGGCTGAAGCCAGACGTGTCCCCGAGCGCCTCGTCCTGACGGAAGCAGGCTGCTGCGGTCAGTGCTGAGCCCATCACGCGGCTCTGAGCACATTCTCTCCACTTCCAGGCCTTGTCCCCAGGAACCTCTCAGCTCCTCTGCCTGGCACATGGGCCTCCTTGCCCCCCTTTCTCCAGGGTCTCCATTAGATTCTAGCGATCCCAGATTTCTGCGGGTCCCTCACACACTGTGCTGTTTCCCATGTCTGTGCCTCTGTCTACACGTCTGCTCCGTCCGAAACCACCTTCCTGCTGTGAGCCTGGCCAGGCCTGCCCTGTGCTGTCTCCTCTGGACCCTCTCCCCGGGGGTTCTCCACCTTGACACTCTTGACATTTGGGGACAGGTCATTCTGTCGCATGCACTGTAAAATTTTAGGAGCATCCTCTATCCACTGAACGCCAGTAATACACACACGCATCATGATAGCCAAAAATGTCTGCGGACATCCGGTGTCTCTGCCATGCTCTCCCCTCTGTGCTCACAGCATTCACACCACCTAGTTGACGGCACCGTCAGGTCCTGCCTGCCCTGCTCCCAGCCGCTCCACGTACCAGCTGAGTGGCCTTGGACAAGCGACTTAACCTCCCAAACTAGGGTCTCCTCATCTACAAAGTGAGTGTAACAGGTAATAATAGCTTCAAACACCTAAGGAGGCATGACTATTAAATGAGAGAATTCATGGAAGGTACACAATAAGTACCCAATAAGTATCAGCTGATAAAATCAAGATTTTTCTTATTTTTATGTCATTTGTGTTTGTCTGTTTCCCCACCTGACGCTGAGCCCCTGGGGAACTGGAAACTGGTTTCATTCACTGTTGGTCCCTAGCGGGAGTCTTAGCGGGGAGCAGAAGCTCGGTGATGTTGAGTACACCGCTCGGCAGTTGCCCACTCAGCCTCGACTGACACTCCCTCAGCCCCCAAAGTCCACATCCAACAGACTTCTCTCCCAATTTCTGCTCCCAGCTGGGCAGCCCCGGCCCCCTTGAAAACAACCCCACCATTTCCTCTCCAAGACCTTCCCTCAAGGGCACACTCATCAGACTCAGTGCAGCCATCCATAGACGACCGCCTGGCCTTGATCCAGGGCCCTCTGCCTCTGACGGGCAGAGGGTCCCCTCCACCAGGACCCAGGCTTTACAGACCCACAGGAGTGGGAACTGCCAGGAGGCCCCCTTCCCAGAGACCTCAGGCTTATCCTTGAGGAAGCCACACCAAACCTGGGAGCAGTGGGGGTGTGGGAGGGCTGCTTAAAAGTACATTTTGTGACCTATAAAATGACATAGAACTACACGCACGCATGCACACGCGCATGCACACTCCATCTTGTCCACCTCTCCCCCCGAGAGCCAGCTTGGGAAGAGCACAGGCACCCAAAAAGAGGAGGTGACAACGAGTGTGGCAAAGATCCAAGAAGGTCCTGGGCAGCAAGAGCTTGTCCTTTGTGCAACGCAGGGCCCTGGCCCAGGCGGTGGTCCAGGGCCGCCTCATCGCACGCACGTGGACACACACACACACACACAGAGTTTTGTCTGCTTTGCATAACCGCATCAACTTTTCAGTTAAAAACAAATAACACTAACATACAAACAACAACAAAAACTGCTGACCCTTTCCCTGCAGCTGACCATGTGTTCCCTCCGGAGAAAATGAGCGAAGCTAACAGCTGGCGATCATCGAGGAGTCAGGCCCAGGCCCTGAACCAGGACCCTCGCCGTGTCGTTTGATCCTCACGCTGGATTAAGTGAGTACCACGCTGGCATGGACAATGAGGTTGCCCACATGGTACCAGCAGCCGCCCATCCCCCGCCCCCTCCCAGGCTCACCTCCACAAAGAAAAGTGCCCAGATCCTGCTCCAGCGTTTGGATTCGGTGAGGGCACCGTGAGTGGCCAGGTGGCTGCCCTTGACGGTGAGCGTGTAGTGGCACACACCCAGGACGGTGATGCCCAGGACAAAGACCAGGACGTTCTCAGAGCACAGGCACAGGAACCCTGCAGGGAGGGGGTGGTTAGGATCTTTCTCCAGCTCTTGGAGATCTAGGCCCAGACACTCCCTCCTCCGCACTCGGGAGCCCAGGCCACAGTGGGCCCAGCCCTGGGGCGGCACAGGCAGCAGTGAGGCAGGTCCCATTATGTCCTGAGGGTGCGGGTTGGTTCTCTCTACAGGATGTGGGACAAAGCAGAGCCCTATTGACTCCCCAAGGACATTGCAGGAGTCTTGATGCTGGCCCCAAGCAGAGCAGTGATGAGGTCAGGGCACGGCGGGGGTCCAAACCAGGAGAGGTCCAGGGGGAACACTGCCCTCCCCCCTCATCTCTGGTGTCCTTGCGGAGAAACCTCCCCCTCCCCCAGGTCTCCTCACCCCTCCCCGCCTTTCCGGTGACTTCTGTCAACTTTCTCCTCCGCTGTCCTTCGTGCCATCAGCCTTCTCCCTCCTCCAGCACCCAAGTCCTCTGGGGACATAAGACAGGACACCCCAACCAGACTTTCGGGTTTGGGCTGTGACTCTCCTGGGGTTCTGGTCACCCCCTACTCCACTGCCCTCCAGCCCGCGACATCCCCTTTTCCGCATCACCGCCTCCAGCCCAGCCCCTGGTCAACCTGTCCGCGAGTCTCCGTGTCCCTCACCAGATGGCAAGGCCAGGAGGCTGAGCGCAAGGATGGCGCAATCCACACCGTGGCGCTCCCACCACGAGCTCGCCCTCACCACGTCCTGGACCCGCGCCTCCAGCTCCCCCAGCAGCGCCTCGGCCCCGCCGCTCCCCTGGGGTGCGCCTCGCGCCGGCTCCATCGGGCCCCGGACGACTCCGAGGACACCAGCGTATCTGCAGCGGCGGACAAGGCTCTGAGCACCAGCGGGGGCGGGCCGGGGCGGAGTCAGGCGCCTGGCTGGGGCCACCCGCCCCCAGTGTCACGGTGCGTGCAGGTCACCGGGTGCTTCTGGACTAGAACCGCCGCAAGAAGAACCGGTGGATGCGCGAAGGTGGGGAGGAGGCTCTGGGTACAGGGGACGCGGGAGGGGGGGGCGAGGCGGGGGTGGGGGGGACGGGACACGCAGAGACCGTAGTGGAAATCCCCAGGGTCCCTGACCGCCTGACCTTAAGTAACTCTCTCGCATTCTCCTTGTCCCCTCGCCCTGCTCGGGTGTGCACAGCGTTTTTATTCCACAGCCTGAGCGTTGTTCTCAGTGGCAGTTAGCGGGCGGCCCCCACACGACACAGGCGTGCGTTCCTTGTCTGTCTCCGCCCACAGCCTGGCGGCCGGGAGATGGCAGGGACTTACCTCGCGCTGCTGCTCAAGCTGTGCCTTCGGTACCTGCCACAATGCCTGGCACACAAAGATTTTTAAATTCATGAGGCAGAACGTTCAAGGGGCATGGGGAAGCGGGGTCCCCTCTGCGTCCGGTTTTAGCAGCGATGACCCATGGGGAGTTTGCTCTCCAGCGCAGTAATTTTGGGGGTGAGAAGAGACAAGGACAGACCTTACCATTCCGAATGAGATCCCTCTGCAATTCCACTCGCAGGTGCCCAGGTCTGAACCCAGGACCAAGGCCAAGGCCACGGCAAACTACTTGCCAAGACTTGGGTCCTCCCTAGCCCCTTCCCATAAGCCCAGGACCCCACCTGGTGCTGCTGGAGGCTGGCCTGGGTCCTGGGAACACAAGTCAGGGCCTCTGAGGATCTTTTCTCCCCCTTTGTCTCTGTTTTACTTCCCCCCTAGTCTTACACTGAAGTCCCTTTAAAAACGAGGTCTGGTGTGGTGAGGGCCACAGCACTTTCAGCAAGAGACCTTTGATAAGGAGGAGTGAGACTAGGAGGGGGAGGAGGAGAGAGATGGAGGAAGAGAAGCCTGGGACGGAGGGAGGGTCAGGGAAGCTAAGGACTTTGATTCCTCCTGTCTTCCCTTGTGTTTTATTTCATGAATTCTTATGAGTTTATTCCTCCAATTCGTTATTAAAAGGCAAGGTTTCTTTACCGGTTGCTATTCTAAGGGGCTTACAGTCTAATAGACCAATTCTCCACCCCACCCCACCCCGCCCCCGACACACACATCTGGCTCTTTGCAGTTACCATTGACTTTCACATACTTATTAGGTTTTGTGTATTTCCCACAACTGGCGAGGTTGGCATCATCCCTATTTAACCCATGGAGGTCCAGAGAGATGAAGTGATCTGCCCAGCGCCCACCCCCAGTTACTAAATGGCAGAACCAGAACTCAAATCCAGGAAGTTTCTTCCAATTACCTTTTGTTTCTATAGTAGATTCTTAAAACAGGAAGAGGGAGGGGCCCTTTTCCCTCCCTAACCCACTTTTGAGCCCCTCTCTCTCAGACACACTAGAATCTTCAGGGAGGGGCTACGTACAATTTTAAAAGGCATATTTGATATTAATATTCAATATTAGAATATACCATATAAGGGTAGAATCCCACTGCTTTTATTATATAAACTAGGGGACTTCCTGGTACCAAGAAGCTCCTCTCCAGGACTTGGCTGGCCCCAGACATCTAAGTGAAGCTGTAAGGAGGCGAGTGCTGAGCTTGGAGGAACCAGGAATCCCCAGGGGGTAAGGCTGGCTGGCAGCCTCCCTGGAGAGAGGCAGATTAGATTTAGTACAAATTGAAACCAGGAGGAGAAGGAAGGGAACAAGGTATTCCGGATTCTCAAGGCTTGGGGCAGGAGCGGAGTTGGGAGACTGTTAGCGAAGGCAGCAAAGAAAGGTCCGGACCAGGTGCCGGAGGTGCCACCAACGAAAGACCGAGAAGTCGGGACTTGCCCTGGCAGACTTGGGGAGCCATGGCAGGCCTCAGAGCCTAGGAGTGACTTGTGTAGTGTGGTGTTTGCAAAGGCTTATCTGGCACAATGGATTAGCCGCTGCCCTGCAGGAGACCAGTTCGGAGACTGTTTTGGTACCCTAAACATGACAGGGTGCTAAGGGAGTAGCTGGCAGGGGCGGGGTGGGGCCGGGCTGTAGAACAGGAGTCAAGGAATAAGAAAATAAGCAAGACTCGAATAGACAGTTCACCAGAGGAAATGTACACATGACCGTAAGCGTATGAAAAGATGCTCAACATCATTGATCTTAAGACACATGCGAATGAAAACCCCAGGGAGCCAGCCCTTCACACCCTGCCCCCACTAGAATGGCTGAAATGAAATGGCCAGGCAACACTAAGCACTGGCCGGAGGAAGTAACGCAACTGACCTCTCATTCATGGCTGACGGCATGGAAAGTGGGACAACCCCTCTGGAGAACAGTTTGGCAGCTGCCTGTAAGGTTAAATATACACTTAAATATGCCCTATAACCCAGCAATCGAGCACCCAGGTACACACCCAACAGGAATGAGAACACGTATCCACGTGGGGGACGGTAATTATATATATAAACACGTGGGGGACAGTAATTGCAGAGAGACACGAGGAGACTTTCTTAGAGGATGAAAATGGTCTGTATCTTGATTGTGCTGTCGCGTACGTGTGTCAAACTCATTGACTTGCACACTCAAGAGGAGCGTGTTTTATTATAGTTCATTGTACCTCGATAAAGCCGATTAAAGCAAAACAAAACAGCAAGGCAGACTTACTTGTAAAATGGAACGAGCTTTATTAAAGCTGAACATGTGTGAACTGGGACAACTCAAATGTCCCCCCACAGTCGAAGAGAGAAATAAAATGTATATGCACGCCCAGACCTAATGCTGAACAAAATAAACCAGACACACAGAGCGCAGACTCTATTTGATTTCATTCAGATAAAGTTCCGGAGCAGGCATGGGACGACCATTACTACCACCAGAAAGGTAGTCCAGTTTGTAAAAATTCATCCTGCGACGCGGTTATGATACATGCATTTTTCTGTATACATGTTATCTTTTAATTAAAACATTTGCTTTATTTTTTTAAATGGTCATAGCTTTTTTTTTTTTAGAGGTATGAATCAGAAGGTGGACATCACCCCTCAGCCCAGCTCAGTGAAACATGGGAAAGCAAGGCAGGGCTGGCATCTGGGTTCCCTTGGCCTTGCGGTTGGCAGCTGAGCGTGTGGGATGGCAGAGTGCCTGATTTACGAAACTCTTCTCCATTCCTCTCTGCCGGCCTACCCTGACCTCCATCCAGACCCTGGTCCTCCCCTTCCTGCTCACGAAGGTGAGAATGAAGCCTGGGATACAAGGCCCTGGGTGGTTAGCCACGCAGGTCTGCGCCCATTAAGGCTCTCTGCTTGGCTTCCCACAGCAGGCACTAGGGGGCAGGCCTGGGCAGGCTCCTTAGGTCACTGGCCTGCTGCTAAGGCAGAGACAGCCAGGGCTGAGGGCCCGCTCCTCCCAGCCACCTTCCCTTAGATGGACCTCTGTCCCCACTCTGTCCCTCACCTGTCTGCACAAGACTCAGCGTGTATGAAGAGCACAGCTTTGGAGTCCAGCATGCTTACTGGCCGTGTGACCTTAGCTGAGTTACTCAGTCTCTCTAAGCCTTAGTATCTTTATATACACTAAAAAAAAAAAAAAAGAAATTCAGAAGTGAGATAAATATCAATGAGAGTTTTAATATTTTCTTCTCGTACCCCAATAGATTGTTGTGCCCACCCCCACGTTGGAAACCACTGGCCCACAGCGTAAGGTCTAAATTGCTCAACTTGACATCTGAGGGCCTCCGAGTTCCAGCTTCATCTCTGTTTACTCTGCTGCTTGGGTCAGACTGCCTGCACTCTGACCTCTGACCCCAGGACAGATGTTGCCCTTTCTCACTTGTCTGTCTTTATTCCCAGAGTAATTGCTTCTATCCGCACCCCCATCCAAACCCCGCCCATCCTCTGGGGCTCCGTTGACGTCAGCCACCCCTACGAAGCTTTTCCAACGTTCTCATGGATTTCACTCATGCAACCGATTTTACTGAGCAAGTATTGTGTGCCAGATGCTCCAGCTCCGTGTCTTCCCCTTCCTCTGGTCTCGTCGACCAGCTTGCATTAGACATCCGTTGTCATGCAGTGATCCCTCTTGCGCACCGCAATCCAGCCATAGGATTTAGTGTGCTCGCTATGTCTGTGCCATCTGCCTATATCAGTCAGGACACGTTATACTAGCTGCTGTAACAAATAATCTCAAATGTCTCAGTGGCTAAACGCAGTACGGATTTCTTTCTTGCTCACAGTCTGATATGGGTCGGGTGGTGACTCGGGGATTCAGGCTCCTTCCATCTTGTAATGCCTCCATCTCCAACGCAGGCCACCACCGTAGCCATGGGAGTGAGCAGAAGAGACAACATGGAAAGGCAGCATTAGCTCCAGTTCCGAAGGTGGTGCACGTCACTGCCATCCTCATCCCACCGGCCGGAACCGGAACCCAGGCATCTAACCCAAACCTAACCATAGGCAGTATATAAATGGTATATAAAATGTAAATGACCATTTAGCCATCTCTGCTCCATAGCCAACTGCACTGTGAGCTTCCTGAAGGCACCAACCTGGGCACATCCTTATGTCTTCCCGAACCTCCTCCATAACTTCCAAGCTTCTTGCCGCCAACACGAACTTACACACCCATCACACCCAGCATAGTGCCTCGGATCCATTCAGAGCTCAATATTTACAAGCTGATGGACAGACGAGTACGAGTCAAAGCAGGCTCGCAGAAGGAAAAGGGGATGGGGCTTGGTGGAGAGACTGGTCCTTCCTGTTCTTTGGAGAATACCACATCCCCGGGGCCTCACGAGTGTGTGGCACATAGCAGGTAGTCTGTAAACCATAAATGAACAGATGGATTCACGCAAAGATTGGGAAAACAGGCTCAAGA